ACCTAATTGCCTTGCATGGTTGATTTACAGGAATTATAAATGTGTTCTCGTTAGTTCTAATTCCATAGACATATAGGAGTTAGGTTAGCTTGAATAGGCGAGTAAGAACTCGACAGATTCTTATGAGCAATATTAGCCCCTTTAACCAATAAACTAGATAAATTAGTTAGTCAATTCAATTGAATAATACAATAGGATTGTTAGATAGCCCGTGACCCTACATCGTTTTCATTACATTGATAACATAAAAATCTGTTGTGTTCAAAGTTCATTATTTGTTTTATTTATTTTAATTAGTTTAGAATCAAATACTTCTAGGTTTATTTCTTGTTTAGATAATTAGGATAGTCTAATTTAGTTTATAGTTAATCACCAGTCCTCGTGGAATTGAGATCCGACTTTTAGTCACTTTATTACTTGAAGACCGCGTATACTTGTGTGGGGTGTTGATGATAGGCTATAGTTACTTATTTTAGTCGATTATTACACTCTAATTTACTGCACTTTAATTGAGTTTGAGCTTTAATCGCTAGTGTTTTGCACTAATGGTGTGTTTTATGCCTTGTAGGAGTGATTCCGAGCTATGTAGATGTTATGAAATGAATTCAAGTGATTTGGAGCTTTGAAGTCTGAGTAAAAGTTCATGGAATTAAGCCGCGATCGTATTTGGGGGTCAACGGATGATAGTTAGAGCAAACGAAGACTCGACTAGGCATATTGCGCACTGTATAGTAAAATACACATAACTTTTAACTTTTTGCTCCGAACTCCATTTGCGCTCCACAATATATGGTTAGAAATCTAACTCAAAGGGATACAACTTTCATGGTTTACGTTTTTTCAAATTCTAAGCGGAACAGGGTGAAACATGCGCGTCAATAGCACGGTCGCGCTCAGGCCGCGCTCGTCAGGCAGAACACTCGGCCACTAGCGCGACCACTAGCGCGACCACTAGTGCGACCGCGCTAGTCAAACCCGGGAAAAGTGTCCTTTTTCACATTGGAGAAGGTATAATTGTTAGGGCCCAACCCTACTTGGTATATATACATGGAAAAATGGTATTTTGAGGGAGTTGTACATACTTTTGACACAAAGCCGCCGTGGAGGCCGGAATTCATCGGGTTTCATCGTTTCTTCCATCAAACTTAGTAATTTTTATGTTTCTTTGTATGATTTGTTGTTTTGCTACCATGTCTATGTGGAGCTAAACTTCACTTTCTACGGTTGTGCTTCTTTCATGACTATTATTTTTTGAATATTAATTTTGATTTCTTAGTTTATCATATTGATTTATTTATTTAATCCTGCACTTAATTATTTGATTGCTTGATCACCAATTAAATACTATCTACGAATCTTGAATTGAACTCGAAAGTGGGAATTCTAGATTGCATATAGGATTGAGTAGAGCAAGTTCCTGAACCTGGGTATCGGGGAACGGATTCGCGGTTAGGATAGACATATACCTAATTGCCTTGCATGGTTGATTTACAGGAATTATAAATGCGTTCATGTTAGTTCTAGTTCCATAGACATATAGGAGTTAGGTCAGCTTGAATAGGCGAGTAAGAACTCGACAGATTCTTATGAGCAATATTAACCCCTTGAACCAATAAACTAGATAAATTAGTTAGTCAATTCAATTGAATAATACAATAGGATTGTTAGATAGCCCGTGACCCTAGATCGTTTTCATTACATTGATTACATAAAAATCTGCTGTGTTCAAAGTTCATTATTTGTTTTATTTATTTTAATTAGTTTAGAATTAAATATTTCTAGGTTTAATTCTTGTTTAGATAATTAGGATAGTCTACTTTAGTTTATAGTTAATCACAAGTCCTCGTGGGATCGATATCCGACTTTTAGTCACTTTATTACTTGACGACCGCGTATACTTGTGTGGGGTGTTGATGATAGGCTATAATTACGTATTTTAGTCGATTATTACCCTCTAATTTACTGAACTTTAATTGAGTTTGAGCTTTAATCGCTAGTGTTGTGCACTAATGGTGTATTTTATGCCTTGTAGGAGTGATTTCGAGCTATGTAGATGTTATGGAATGAATTCAAGTGATTTGGAGCTTTGAAGTCTGAGTAAAAGTTCAAGGAATTAGGCCGGGATCGTGTTTGGGGGTCAACGGATGATAGTTAGAGCGAACGAAGACTCGAGTAGGCATATTGCGCACTGTCTAGTAAAATACACATAACATTTTGCTCAGACCTCCATTTGGGCTCCACAATATATGGTTGGAAAGCTAACTCAATGGGATACAACTTTTATGTTTTATGTATTTCCAAATTCTTAGCGGAATAGGGTGAAAAATGCACGTCAATAGCGCGGTCGCGCTCAGGCCGCGCTCGTCAGGCAGAGCACTGGGCCACTAGCGTGACCACTAGCGAGACCGCGCTAGTCATACCCGGAAAAAGTGTCCCTTTTCACATTGGAGAAGGTATAATTGTTAGGACCCAACCTTACTTGGTATATATACATGGAAAAATGGTATTTTGAGGGAGTTGGACATACTTTTGACACAAAGCTGCCGTGGAGGCCGGAATTCATCGGGTTTCATCTTTTCTTCCATCAAACTTAGTAATTTTTATGTTTCTTTGTATGATTTGTTGTTTTTCTACCATGTCTATGTGGAGCTAAACTTTACGTTCTAGGGTTGTGGTTCTTTCATGACTATTATTTTTCGTATATTGATTTTGATTTCTTAGTTTATCATATTGGTTTATTTATTTAATCCTGCACTTAATTATTTGATTGCTTGATCACCAATTAAATACTATCTATGAATCTTGAATTGAACTGGAAAGTGGGAATTCTAGATTGCATATAGTATTGAGTAGATCAAGTTCTTGAACCTGGGAATCGGGGAATGGATTTGTGGTTAGGATAGACATATACCTAATTGCCTTGCTTGGTTTATTTACAGGAATTATAAATGCGCTCTTGTTAGTTCTAATTCCATAGACATATAGGAGTTAGGTTAGCTTGAATAGGCGAGTAAGAACTCGACAGATTCTTATGAGCAATATTAACCCTGTTAACCAATAAACTAGATAAATTAGTTAGTCAATTCAACTGAAGTATACAACAGGATTGTTAGATAGCCCGTGACCCTAGATCGTTTTCATTACATTGATAACATAAAAATCTGCTATATTCAAAGTTCATTATTTGTTTTATTTATTTTAATTAGTTTAGAATCAAATACTTCTAGGTTTAATTCTTGTTTAGATAATTAGGATAGTCTAATTTAGTTTATAGTTAATCATAAGTCCTCGTGGGATCGACATCCGACTTTTAGTCACTTTATTACTTGACGACCACGTATACTTGCGTGTGCGTTTGGCTGTAACACTAGCAGTCTAAGACAAAACCCTATCAGACTAGCCTAACAGCTGTACAAATTAGAAAAATTCTCAACTACCTCCTAACCTACAACCCTAATGCTCGACCTCCACACCTTCCTATCAAGGGTCATGTCGTCGAAAATCTGAAGCCAAGCCATGTCCTGTCTGATCACCTCTCCCCAATACTTCTTAAGCCGCCCTCTACCTCTTCTCGTACGCACCAAAACCATCCGCTCACACCTCTATACCGGGACATCTAGGCTTCTCCTCCGTACGTACCCGAACCATCTGAACCTCGCTTCCTGCATCTTGTCATCCATAGGAGCCATGCCCACCTTCTCCCGAATTTTTTCATTCCTATTCTTATCCATCTTGGTGCACCTGCACATCCACCTCAACATCCTTATTTCTACTACTGACATCTTCTGGGTATGTGAGCGGTTAACTGGCCAACACTTAGCCCCATACAACATGGCCGGTCTAACCACTGCTCTATAAAACTTATCTTTGAGTAACAGAGACACTTTCTTGTCACAGTACTCCAGATGATAATCTCCATTTCATACACCCCACCCCAATACGGTATGTGACGTCCTCGTCTATCTCCCTATTCCCATGGATAATCGACCCAAGGTACTTGAAACTGCCTCTCTAGGGGATGACCTGTGATTCAAGCCTCACTTCCATTCCCTCCCTCGGTTCCGCACTGAACTTGCACTCCAGGTATTCCGTCTTAGTCCTGCTTAACTTGAAACCCATAGACTCAAGGGCCTGTCTCCAAACCTCCAACCTCTCGTTAACTTCGCTTGGCATCTCATCGATCAAAATTATGTCATCAGCAAATAACATACACCATGGCACCTCCCCTTAAATGTGGCCGGCCAGTGCATCCATATCTAAGGAAAATAAGAATGGGTTGCGGACAAATCCTTAGTGTAATCCCATAACATCCGGGAAATGCTCTGAGTCGCCTCTCCTAACCCGAGTCATAGCTCAATCATACATGTCCTTCATCGCCCTAATGTAGGCAATCGACACACCTTTAGCCTCCAGGCATCTCCAAAGAACCTCTCTAGGGACATTGTCATACGCTTTCTCCAAGTAAATAAACACCATGTGTAAATCCTTCTTCCAATCACTGTACAGCTCTACCAACCTCCTAATAAGGTGGATCACTTCCGTAGTCGAATGACTCAGCATGAACCAAAACTGGTTGTCGGATATAGACACTGTCTTCCTCACCCTCACTTTTACTACCCTCTCCCAGACTTTCATAGTATGACTTAGTACCTTGATACCCCTATAATTGTTACAACTCTGAATATCACCTTTGTTCTTGTACATCGAAACCACCGTGCTCCACCTCCACTCATCTGGCACCGTCATCGTCCTGAAAATAACATTAAATAACCTAGTCGGCCACTCCAAGCTAGCTCTACCCACACACCTCCAAAATTCTACCGGACTTCGTCTGGCCCGATTGATCTACCCCTACTTATCTTACGCATAGCTCCCATGAACTCCTCGACCTTAATTCGCCTATAGTACCTAAAGTCTCGGTGGCTCTCAGAATGCCCCAATTTACTGAGCACAATGTCCCAATCCCACTCTACGTTCAGAAGTCTATGAAAGTAAGTCTGTCATCTCCTCTTAATCTTATCATCTCCCTCCAATACTCTACCGTCCTCGTCTTTGATGCACCTCACCTGGTCCAGATTTCGAGACTTCCTTTCTCTCGCTGCCGCACTCTGGAAAGTAACCAGATACTCCTCCCTCTTTGGAAAAATAGAGTTTGCAATCACCAGCTCAAAAGCCTTAGCGAAATCCAACAGCGAAGTACCTCTTCTGTTCCTATCCCCAAAACTGAAGCCTCCATGCACCTCGCTATAACCGCCAGCAGTCGACCCAATATGACCATTGAAATTCCCTACTAATAAATAACCTCTCAGCAGGCGAAATACTACGCACAATCTCATCCAATCCCTCCCAAAAGCTCCTTTTAACCTCCTCATCTAAGTTCGTTTGCAGCGCGTAAGCACTAACGACATTGAGGGTGTACTCTCCGAGTACTAACTTGATAGCCATTAATTTCACCCGCCTCACCTCTACCACCGATTCTCTAAGATCCCTATCCACCAAAATACCCACTATATTCTTACTTTTCAAGACTCCATAGTACCACAGCTTATACTCGTCCGCATCTCTTGCCTTTGATCCTACCCACCTAGTCTCCTGGACGCACGCTATATTGACGTACCTCTTCTGGAGAATCTTTGCCAGCTCTATATACATACTCGTCAATGTTCCTATGTTCTATGACACAATACTCAACCTATAGGCTCCTTTGATCCCCTTACCTCCCTTACCTCTCTTCCCACCCCTTAATCCCTGCCCTAGGCCCCGCCCTCCCCGAGGATATGACCTTACTCTACCATCCCAAACCACAGCCACCATATCTACTATAGACTAAGGAAACTCACTAACACAAAACAGGCAACGGACCAAAATGTAAGTGGACAAGTTGAAACTACAGGCACGCTACTAATATGACTAAACTAATGCAAACAAGTTAAGTAACACAAAGAAGGGAATAGGAAAGCGGGAGGTACCAACTCCCGAGAGTAGAACCTATGAATTTGACTTGGTGCACACCCGAGGTCACAGACACTGACGTACTTCCTTCCAAATCCTATTGGCCCAAGCAAACACCAACCACGGTTGCTCCGCGCTACTCGCTCGTACGCCTCACGTGCTCGTCGCCGACTGCCATGATTAACAACCTGAAAATCATAACACACCAACCGCAAAACCAACAGGGGGCTATCAACCCGTCACCGTTGCACTGGTGTTTAATACTACGGTAGCCCGGGCTGCCAACCTAAGCAACAGAGGAAGGGGGATGACTCAAACAAGAGAAAAAAAAAGGGTAGAGGGCAGAATGAGAAGAGAGAAGAGGGAGGAGAAAAGGAAGAGGAGATATGAGAGGGGTCGCCGGCTGGGGAACACCGGCAGGACTGGGGCAGGAGAAAAACAAAGTAAAATAAAAATAGAGGGGGAGAAAGAAGAAACGGGGGTGATGATAAAGAGAGAGGAGAGAGGAGGGGAGAGAGGAATGAGAAGAGAGAAGAGAGAAGAGGGGGAGAAAATAAAGAGGAGAGATAAGAGGGATCGCTGGCAGGGATTGGGCAGGGGAAAAAAAAGAGGAAAAAAATAAAGGGGGAGAAAGAAGAAACGGGGGTAGTGATGAGAAAGAGGGAGGAGAGAGGGCGACTTGCCTACGTGTGGCCGCCAGCGATCTCGCCAGTGGATGAGGCCGGTCGACTGTGCGGAATAGAGATCAAAGAGAGAGAGAGAGAGAGAGAGAGAGAGAGAGAGAGAGAGAGCCATTAGAGTATTGCAATTTTCCCAAAAAGAGCTTTATGCAATAAATAAAAAAATCACCATAGTATGGACAACAAAGGCTTGAGGGCGAGTCCTACTATATTATGGAATATTATGATATTGGTTGAGGGTAAGACGGTGGGTTTAAGTCCCACCGCAGCATAATAAAAAGAGTTGAATTTGAGTCCCAACGTATTATGGCCTAACATGCCTTTGTATGGGTAAGAAATTGGGGTCAAGTCACAATGCATAATATTGATGATATAATGATGACTGAGGCGAATAATGTGCTTTTGATGAAAGAATTATAAAGCCCATCCTACTGAATATGCTTCATTCTTGTAGTGGATGTGATAGTAGTGCATAATAATTCTAGATGAAGATAAGTGGTTAATGAATGAATGTAGCGTGCCAAAGACCAAAATAATAATAGTCATCATTGTGGTAATTCTAAAAAGGAGAACAATAATGGTTCTCAAAATAATCTTTCAAAAGTGAAGTAAATGTGTATCAATGTGGTCTGTAAATATGAGGCACATTCAGATGATTATGGTCCATTCCTTGAAAATATGACTTGTGATAAGAAACCTTAGGAAACTTAGTGTTATGCCCCCGCAATCGATATTACGTCTCGCAGTATTATATTACGATGACGTTACGCTTCGCAGTATTAAATTACGACGATATTGCACCTTGTAGTATTGTACGTTGAATTTGTCGTAAGGTAATTGGCATTAGTCCAAGGAAAAAGATTATTTGGAGATTATAAGGATTATGCTATTTTAAACAAATGATGAGTAAATTCGCGAAGATGAGAGGGAAGCAAGTCAAAGAAAATGAATTTTTCGTCCAAGTTTGGAATATTGGGATAAAATACGGGCCGAGCGTTAATTACCGATATTTGCGGACTAGTACAATACAAGGTACCATGTGACCATGATAGTCGTATATATTAAAAAAGATGAGTAGAGTTTTAAGTAATTTTAGATAATTCTTAATTATGGGGATAATTGGCTAATTATCGGGTAACAGGATATTACCTAATTAATCAGGGATACAATTTATAAGTACTAAGCGACATGATGTGGCAGCCCCCCCCCCCCTCCCAACTCAAAGTAAGTGACTAATAATGTAGGTTGAAAGGTGGCATCATTAAATGATATATATGCTACTTACGTGTAAAAGTTTGGCAACATTTGGCTAATTGGACTCAAAAATCAGCAATGACTTAAAAATCAATTCATTTTTGCTTCATCTAACATTTTCCTAACTCAAAATCTCAAACCAGACGCTCCAGCAAAGCTTTCAACAAATTCATTCTCAAAATTTTACAATCAAATGTGAGGTCCAATGTAATTCCTTATCAATTTCCCACAAAAAGAACGTGAGTTCTTGCAACAAAAAGGAATCCAAAGAAAATTATTTGCAACGTAAAATTTTGCGGTTCTAAAGGAGTACGGTGCAACTTTTTCCAAGAATATCATACGAATTTTTCCCTACTTCAGGTATGTTAAGGCCATCCCTTCTTTCTTTTTGGCATGATTCAAATTATACAGAAGAAACGAGCAAACGCATAGTTTTCATAAACGACTCTATTCATAGAAATACTAGAGGTCTCTATGTTCTTGATTCCCCATGTGACATATTATTATATCTTCTGTTCATGGGTCTTAGAATAATATGTAGTTGAAAAAGTTTATCCGAAAGGAATATTGATATTATTACATATTTTTCATGCATTTCATTCATTTATACATGTTCATTGACCCATGACCAGATGGCGTTATATACGCATATTTATATGTATATGTATATGTATATGGGATATGGGAAAAAGGTTGCGGCGTTATATACGCACCACCACCTAATCAGCTGGTATACGGTGATGATTTGCTCACAGTGGCCGAGATGATATGATGGGATGCCCTCAGAGGCTTGATGATGTTATGATAGCATATACCCATGCATGGTATGACATTTATACGAATATGCACGACATTATAATATTAAATGATTCACAGAGTTATTCAGATATACATGTTGAGTCTTTTACTCCATGTTTCTCTCATGTCTACTAGTTACTGATTTTTATTCCTTACATACTCGATACATTATTTGTACTGACGTCCCTTTTGCCTGGGGACGCTGCGTTTCATGCCTGCAGGTCCTGATAGACAGGTCGAGAGTCCTCTAAGTAGGCTCGGCTCAGCGGAAGGTGTTCGTGCGCTCCATTTGCTCCGGAGTTGCTTCTTTGGTCAGTATGATTAGTACATGTATTGATTAGTATGGCGGGACCCTGTCTCGACCTTTATGATATTATGTATTCTTAGAGGCTTGTAGACAGATGTCGGGTATACGGATACTTGTATGGCCTTGTCGGCCTATGTTTCGAGTATACAAAAAAAAAATTATGCCGACCTTATAGGCCCGTACTTCATATGTATAAGTTTGTATTCCCTCATGCTTTACTACCGGTTCATTTACCTATGATAGAATGATATGAAAGATACGTCATGTTGGTACTCGGTTGAGTAAGGTACCGGGTACCCGTCGCGGCCCATCTGTTTGGGTCGTGATAAAAGTGGTATCAGAGTAGTTCTGTCCTAGGGAGTCTACAAGTCGTGTCTAGTAGAGTCTTGTTTATGGGTTTGTCGTGCACCACACTTATAAGCAGGAGGCTACAGGGCATTTAGGACTGTCACTCTTTCTTCTTACTCTAGATCATGTGGTAGAGCTCAGTTGTAAGAATTTAAATTCCTAACATCTATTTTATCCGTAATAAGACGATACCTACATCCATAAAGACGGTTGGTAAAAGACATGGCTATGGAAGAGTTGAGTCAGAGGATCTCGACTTTGCATCATGCTTATGATAAGTAAATGTGAGGTCTTCAGCGGATCATGTGCGTACTGAAAGGTGTAAGCCTCTTGATAAGGAGTCTTGAGGCAAGAATACCTATCCACCTTAATGGTGAAAGATAATGAGAGATTCAGAAGATAAATACAAGTTTCAACAAGCAAAAGAAGCAAGATGAAGAAGAGTACGAGGCGCCCAGTTAATGAAGGTTAACAGTGTTTATAATTCAGTCAGAGTAATATAAGCTTTTTGAGTTATATTCAACAGTAATAGAGGTATGTACAATTAACCGTACCCATCTCAGTTATGCCCTATGGGGGCTAACAGGTGTAGTTTAAGAAAAGGACGGAACATCAGTACGGCAGGGGTTAGAGTAACCCAAAATGGTAAATGGATTGTTTGTGTTAGTTGACATTTCTGAAGCGTATTACAAATGTGCTAATAGATCCTCTTGTGAGACACCCAGATGGTGCACTCTAGAATATTACAATTAGATGTGAATACTAGCATGGTCGGAAAAAAAATTCAGAAGATAGGCACCGAAATCCTGGAAGGGATAAATATTACCTTAGTATGACTCTCGTCCCTATTAGAGCAAGGACGTTGAGCAACCCGAAGAGCCGATGGATGAATCAAGGGGAGCAAAAAGCAAAAGAACGTCTTGCTAAAGTTTTCACAAGAAAGGGATAGGCAGAAATATTAGCAGTAATAAGAAGAGAGACAAGGAAGAATTATGAGTAAGATGCGATACATGGATGTCAATGGTTGATCAAAAAGATGACGGTATTACCGAGTCCATAGTCAAGTGAAGGAAGAGACGAGAGGTGATAGGCCTTAAGATAAAAAAAAAGAGTATAGGCCATAAAAGTCATATCCTCATTTCAATAAGTAAGTTCGTGACTCTAACGTGATTACCAATAGGAAAAACTAGACCCCAGAATAATAGAGATCAGTATGGGCTGGTGAACAAGATAAAGTAAACATGAATTAGGGATCTAGTGATTTGATAATGGTCGACATCATGAGAATTTCCTATTTCGTACCGGCAATAATA